CTTTCTTCCTTCCTTCCTTCCTTCCTTCCTTCCTTCCTTCCTTCCTTCCTTCCTTCCTTCCCAAGAAGGAAGCCGCCGGGCAACGGGCTTTACAGCGCAGGCTGCCGCGGGCTGATGGCGCAAACGGTCAATTCCCTCCTCCGTTTCAGCGCTGCTCTGGGATATCGCAGCCCCGAACTGACGCGAAACTTCCAGGACTTCCCCGGAAGGCTGGCGGTTCTCAAGCTCCACTTCTGAGGGCGGCTGTTTGCTGCGAGGAACGGCAGACGAGGTCGCCTGCAGCACGAGAAGGCGACGACCACCGCGAACCACTAGACGCCGGCGGCGTTCGTCGGGCGTTCTCTTTGCTGCCCCCTGGTGGCCGCCCCGAGGGTTGCGGCCTAGATGCGGGAGCCCTGCGCGAAGGGCGCCCGCTTGTCTTCGGGAATGCGAATGAAAAGGGAAAGATCAGAATCCGGTGCCAAGTACAGATACACCAATTTGAATGTATTTTCATCCGTTGGATAACTTATTCTAATTATGTACACCGGAGGCAGGGGATGCTAGAGGCAAACGGTGATTTTTCTCCCGTCTGCAAGAAGATAGTTCAACTATTCGAGGTCCGAGCCCCTGAGTTTACCTCCTATCCATACATGCACCTGTGATTTGTCTCCCGGTTTTCAGCTCTAACGTTATCTTGTTTAAAAGGCTTGGAGCTTTTCCTCTAATTAAAATAATAATAATAATTTGACATGGATAGCCATGCCAACTATCATATTCTGTACAAATAAGGAAAATTCACCGAACTGTTTTTCAGCCTTCTCACTTGGGAAGACGTTTTGCACTGCTGGTTGGAAAATATGCATTTTGAATTTTTATTGATGGTGGCTTTTTTTCTTCTTCATGGACAGTTCTGACAACGTTCTTTATGCAGGGATTAAATAACATTTAGATACAAAAAAGTCCAAGGCACGGGGAGCCATTATTCTGTCTGGCACGGTGTTTCTCAATCTCAGCAACTTTAGGCTGTGTGGACTTCAATTCCCAGAATTCTCCAGCCAGCATCTAGAAGAAAATGTGTGTTGAAACTGGAGGTAGGTGTTGAATAACCGCATTGTCTGGAAGAGGGAACCAAATTTTCCCCTGACCCAACAGCACTGTAGTAGTTATCACTATCGAAGGGATACAAATAAGTAGGAATACAAGAGCCATTTTACCATTTTATAAATATCATCTGCACTATAATATGCAGATTGCATTGCTTAGTTTTAGGGAAACCATCCAAAATGTCAGTACTTGGATGCAAAACTTCAACAAAAATGTGTGTCCCCCAGATCATCTTCTCACAAGATGGGGGGGAAATCATTGGGATTTTTCTTTGAATATTGCAATTTTATCCCACCTTCTCAAGATCCCCCTCTTTTTACCCACACAGCAACCTTCTGAATTCTGAACCTTCTGACCACCCCAGGAAACAGGGGGCTTTATCATTGATCAGAAACTTTCTAAACCTGTCTCTCCCCGTCCAATCATGCCCCACTGGCCCTTAAATGGGATCTTCTCTATCAGCATTGCTTCATTCCATTATTAATACCTTCCTGAAAATAAGGCACTTGTATTCATTATCAAGAGCAGAAAGTTTCGGTCTCATTTTTCTGAACTGATTCAGCTTGTTATATGCCAAATGTTTGTTTGAGAATAGGACCGTTTATGTAAGTTGCAAGAAGTAGGGATTTCCTAAGTAGAAATCAATCTGGCATCTAATGAGACATGTGAAATCATGTTTTGCCGATGCTTTGATTTTCTCCTGTGCATGAGTAGTTACAACAAGCAAGCTGTAACCTATCCTTAGGAGGGGCTTCACTGAGAGAGGAATGGTTCACAGGAAGGGACAGGCATGCTGATAAATGCCTCATAGAAAAGCCTGCAGCAGGGCTGTCTGCAGGGTATGGTCAAAAAAGTCAAGATGGCAGCCATGATGATGTGATCAAAGTTCTGCCTTTTTTTATGGGCACATGCAACATGCATGCACATACAAAAAACGGGCAGAGCTTTGATCACATCATCCTGACTTTTTTAACCACACCTTGGGGACCCCCTGCTTGACATGGGGTGTGTTTTAAGTAAATTTATTGTACTTTTCTCATGTACCTTTTAATTAAAAGAAAGAGATGTCCCTGAGGAATAATCAATTGTATGGCTTCTGAAAAGATGGGGTTGAGGACTGAGAATGCCTCAAATAGTATCTCTGAATAATCGGCAGTTTATGTCATTTTTGCAGGGTGATAAAGTAGCTTCCAGGGCCTGGGTTAGAGTGTCCAAATAGGATTGGGGAGACACACATTTCAACCTCCATAAAACTAGGTGACTGTGGACCAGATACTTCTTTCTTTCGTGGGTTGTGGGGCCTCTTCAGTCAATTTGCTCACAGGCAGCAATATTGAAATTTACCCCAGAGGGTTGTGAAGTAGCTAACTTAAGCTATGTAGAGAAATATCAAACAACTAGCTAACGTATCTGTGTGTTTCCAAATTCCATATTTAGACGGTCGCTTTATTTAACAAAATTAAAGTTTAAAAAATAGCATACAAGCTCTGGTGTTCTCCAGAATGCATCTTCAGAGTAAATAGACACACATTTGCTTTGTTCAGTATTTGTTTTGGCTGTTTCAAGTTAAATCCTCACCTCTTTTTGACAATAGGGCACTATCATCCCAGAAATGCTTATTTTGCTGACTTTAAGCAACTTTCAGTCTTATCAGGCAACACACAAGTGTGATAAAAAAAAACTTACGTCACAATATTCAACTCGATGATAGGGCCCACTGAAGTAATGTCAGCAAATAAATAATATCTAATAGAGAATTGCTCATGATAGACTGCACCCAGCTGCTAATGTGCTAAAGGTAAGCAAGAAAAACAATCCCAATTTAGGCAGACTATTTCTTACAGGAAATATCAGAAAACCAGATACTTCCTTCCCAAACGGGCTTCTCTATTTTAGAAACACCAGCTAACAATTCGACAAATACATAAAAGAAGAAAGAGTTCCATCCACACTTCCAAAACAACTGGGAGGGACTGGCTAATAAGCTGCATAAAATTTCAGTGGAGAAAAGCCCCTTTGGAAGGCTTATAGCCCTGCCCATTCAGTGTGGACGTGATAGTTAGGCTTATCCTGGTCTGATGTGCCAAGTTCTGGGTTGGCATCCTGCAATCAGGCTTGTTTGGGCAGGCAATTCTCCAATTACCTCTACCTGTTCTATAAGATTGACGGGGTTGGCATGCCCTGGATCCCATCAGTAAAACAATGTCATCTTATGGGATCCAGGAGGAGCACGTTCATTGAGGCCATGTCTGCTCTTTGGAATAGCTGCCATCCCCTTATGGACTCTACTGATCCTGATGTTCTTTAGGACGGCTTTAAAAACCTGCCTCTCCCAGCGGGCACCAGGCTGAGACAAATTGTGAACCTACTGATGTGTTTGTGCTTTAAGTTTTTATCTTCTCCGGCTCAGTTGCTATTTTATTGTGTCAGAAGGTCACATTCAAAAGATGACTCATCAGCTGCTTTCTTGTTGCATCAGCCAGTCCTGCATATTTGTTTTCCCAGAAAAGCAAGGCTAGAACTAGAACAGGCCTGCTTGTGTGTATTGCTCATGTGCCCTGAGGAGATCTCTGATAACAAACTGCTAATATGCAGAGCCCTATTTGAAGTCCACACATCTTCAAGACACCAAGGTTGAGGAACCCTGCCCTAGAGTACACTGCAGCAAACATCTTGAGGTTGTTTTTAGTAGTTATTTTTGCATGATGACCTTGCAAGGAGTGCTGTTCCAAAAGAGTCCCCTCAAACACATGGCTCACAGATGAGAGGACACCAAAGAGAGGCCATCCCAGAGAGAAGGTAGCATCTTTCTCAGCGTCTGCCCCCACCTGTGCTTTAAAGGGGGTAAGATTAGGCAGATATTGGTGAGAGATTAAATTGAAAGTTAAGGCTTAGAGATTTCAAATTGGGAGACCGGTAAGTGGTATCAAAGCTTGCTAATTGCTAGATTGTGTGTTATTTCCTTATTTTACTTTCTTGGAATACTTATTCTTTCTGTTAAGTTCCTGTTAAAAGGGAAATTGATTTTTTCTGCTCTCTAAAGAACTTTATCTTCTGACTTTTCCTCTCTAGGGGCACTAACCATCCCATACACCAGTGTTTTTCAAACTTGGCAACTTGAAGAGGTGTGGACCAACTCCTAGAATTATCCAGCCAACACAGGAGTTGAAGTCCACACCTCTTTAAGTTGCCAAGTTTGGAAAACAGAGATCAGCAGCCAGATGGCAAATTCTGGCTGGTGCTGTCTTTCCAGATAAGGGAGATATTGTGGGATCATTGTTCCTCATAAGTAGACTTCAGGAACTGAGGTGTTTGCAGTCAACATGTGAGTTGAATGGCTGGGAGTTGAGGGAATTCAATGAAGCTCACAGCTGTGATGTAGCCTGTACGGACTCAACGTTCTCACAAGGCTCACTTTCTTAAACATTTTTGGATGTAAATAATGTACAGCTAAAGAGAGATTTTCTGAGCGTCTGGATAAGAGAATTCCCCTTGGTGAGTCAGCATTCTTTCTAAGCTAAAAAGGGGGGGAAAAGGTTTTAAAGATTTCAATATTTTGGCAAAAAATTTAACAAGGAGTGGTTGTAAGAAAGTTTAAAACAGATAAAGGGGGCAGG